CTCAGTGTCAGACTCCCCATTCCCAGACAGCTATACCCCTAAATGAGCAATCATCCTCTCTCCCTTCTAAAAAGGTGACTTCCGGCAGGACCATGCCTTAAATCTCCATTTCCTCCTTTCTATAACATAGCTCATTGATTTCTCCCAGGAATGCGGCTGAATTAAATGCCAAACTACAGCACACACTGCCCTGCTGTCCCTGCACACAGCTGATGCCGTGTCTAGAACCTCCCAAGCCCCTCTGAAGACCCAGAGTAAATAATGAATGACTGTTCACTCCAGTCTCATTTTCATGATGGCTTAATAGTGAGCACATTGCAGGAGCCAAGAAGAAAAGTCTAATTTTGATCAATGATGCTGACCTCTGACCCCAGGCCTACGAACAGCAGGTGCCGGCCACTGGCCTCTCCGCCCTCTGTCTCCCTCTCCCTTCAGCTGAGCAGCATAGATGTGCCCAGAAACACATCCTGAGTTTTGCTAAACTCACACGTTTGTAGGCTGAGCCTGATGAGCAAATGGTGTTAACAGGATGAAGCACTTTCAGGTCCTGAGGGAAGGGAGGGGGCAGGGTTATTCTAACCCGGGAATATTCCAAATCCAGTAGCCAGGGCTTTGCTCAGCTGCTCTCAGGGGCCTTTCTGGAAGGGCCTTCAGGCTGCCCTGCGGCTGGGCTGATTGGGGCAGGAGCCTCACTGCCTCCTGCTGGCACCTGTTTCTGTTGATAGAATGTCTGGGGTCACCAGGTGCCCACTAGGTAATATTCGGCCTTTCTCAGGACAGGCCTGGGTCTATGCAGGGCCTCCTCTGAGTTTGCCTGTGCTTGGTGACACCTACACACCTGGCCAGGTCTACAGGGGTGGCTTTTCACTTGTACACCATCCCAGTGACCGGCTGGGGTTGGAACACAAGTGAATGAACACTGCCAGTAGGACCTCTGACCTATATGAATACTCCCTAGTCAAGATGCACGCTGAAATTTAAAATAAAAATATTGAATTTACATCCACCAATCATTTCACATTGGTCCACCCCCTCCCATCAACTACGCCAGCCCCGCAGGTGGATCACACCGTGGGCTGCTCTTATCGTCCTTCTCCCCACCCCCCCACCACCTTCCCACCCTCCCCTACCCCCCACCCTGCCACATGCAGGCTTCAACCAGACCACCCCATCGGGCAGTTACAGGCAAGGAGTGTCCTCTTGTCCCCTTGGGAGTCAGACACTCTCAATGGAGTTTCCTCTCAGTCACCAAATTCCTGGACAGGTTGGAAACTTGACTTAACCTCTCTGGGCCCACATATCTATTCTGCCCTGTTAAATGAGTTTGGTAAAAGCCCGATCCAGGGACAAGCTATAGAGAAAGTGCTCGGTGTATCGCAAAGAGCCGTGTCCACACGGAGCCTGCTACACATATTTCTGCTGCTTCCCTGGGGAAGATGGTGGCTTCATGACAACCCTGATGGCACTTCTGAAGAGGAGGCATCCTCTGTGTTGCCCGTGCACGACCTGGGGTGGGGCCTGGGCCACGCTGAGGTCAGGCCAGGCTGGGGCCTCTGACACATACCCAAGGTGACTCACTTCCCTGATAACCTGAGGAGAAAACTGCAGGCAGCCTCTTGCCCTTCCTCTCGCCGGGCCACGCCTCTTAGGACAAAAGACGTTTGGCACCAGAAAAGAAACGCCAAGTGAAGCCAGGAAGAACTGGCTCTGAGTCTAAGCTTTTCCTTTTGAGTTCAGAAAGAGTCGGGCAATAAATAACTAACCCGTACTTTGTCTTCCAGTGGACTCCAAGCCCTGGCCAATGGGCAGCGTGACCTTGAGCATGTTCCTCAGGTTCTCAGGGCCCACTTCCTCCTCTTTAAACTTGCCATAATTTCTGTATCTTGGGGCCTCTTGGGGGAAATTTCATTGAGTTCTTCTGTGTCGAGGATTGATAACGTCTATTTCTGTCCTGTTCCTTAAGCATAAACCCTATCAGGAAATGGGTTTTCTTTGCTTGTATTTTCTCTTTGACTGTAATGAATGTTATACTTTCATAAAAAAAAAAAATCAAAGCTATTTTATTCTGTAAAAGAGAAATTAGATGAATTGTGCACAAGGAAACCAAGGGTCAGAGGGGATTATGTGGCCATCTCCCAAACCCGGCTGTTGGGGACAGAAGTGAGACCCCAGCCTGGCCTCTCCTCCTGGGCCCGGGGCAGGGGTTTCCTGTGTGCTCAGCTCATCTCTTTCTAACTTAAACTTCTGGGGATTTAAATTTTCGTTCACACTCAGGACTCCCAACTTAGAGTTGGTTTTGAAACGGACAGTATGTTTATGTCTTAGTACAAATTGATCTTTCAGGAACTAGATTAAAACAGGCTCCCAGACTAGGCAAAGGCCGCCCTGTAAGTCAGCTTTTCATAGAGCCTACAGGATGAAGACCCAAGTAGACTTTGCAATTTCTGCTGTCTAGTCTCAGTGGCTTTCTAGAAGCCATTAGCCCCCTGGGCTAAAGAACACGGCCCTACGACCATTCTGAAGGCCACGTGTTTAATCCCCTTTAGGGTTGCTTGTGCCCTTTGCTGAAATCACAAGTGTATGTAAATATTCTTTGAGGCAAAGATGAGTCAGAAGGGATCTGTGGCCGGTTTTCACTGCATTCCTGTCCTTAGTATTGCTTTGCTCACTTTGAGTTTACACTGGGTTAAAATCCACAATCAGATTCTTGCTGAAGTCGGGGATGGCTGGAACGGTCACATCCCAGAATCCCAATGAAGATAAATCTTACAATGCAAGTAAGAAATAAATCGGATAGCCACAGTGAGACATCAAAAATTAAAAAGGACAACGCACAAAGGAGCGGGGAGAGCAAAACATGTACCAGCTAAGAATTTTTTTTTTTTAAGTAGTAAAAGAATCTAGATTTTTCAAAGAGTGCAACACAGGAAGCTGTTTTGAGTTGGGGGCAAGTTAATTATATTCAAAAAAAGATACTGTCTCTGGAAAAATCTTTTTTTCTTTTTTTGGTTGCAGTGAAATATTTTAGTTCCTTTGTATAGAGACATATTACACGTTAACAACCATGAAAAACGATACAAAATGCCCTCCATTTAACAAGTAGAAAAATATAACTAGTATATATGGCAATTGTGAATCTAATACTGTACAGAAGTAGTTTATGGATTTTACAAATAAATTATAGCTTAAACGCCTTTTGAAAATCCTTTTCCCGCCCTCCCCCAGCTGTACAGCAGAACTTACTTAGAACAATAGCAACGTCTCCGGGCCTAGTTTATTGCCAATCAGTGCCAGTCAAATGTCCTGCCGACAAGCTCGAAGAATTTCTTATTTGGCTCGTGGAAATATTCGTGCAGTTTGTTGAGCAGTTTGGGGTCGACGTGGGGGTGTGCCCGGCCTTTGGACTCGTGCAAGCAGCGGTCCCGGCCGCTGTCCCGCAGGCAGTAGAAGCCCTTGGTTTTGTTAAAGTAGAAATTGGAGGCGTTGATCTGCGGGGACAGCTTCAGGAACCGCTCGACCTTCTGGATCTCGGGGAAGGGGTCCCTGATGAGGCGGTCTCCGTCCACGATGTGGATGCGTCGCAGCGGGAAGAAGTGCAGCCAGCGGCGCAGGTGCTCGTGGTACAGGCTGCGGTTCAGCGCCTTGTAGTCGGCGTTAAGGCGGCCGCCGCGCAGCAGGAACTGCTCGATGGCCGGGTAGGGCTTGCGCTTCTGCACGTGGTTGTAGAGCACCTGCGTGTAGTCGGACAGGACGCGCTCCGACGGGTCGCGCAGGATGAGCAGCAGGCGGACGGCCGGGTTCATGCTGTGCACCCGCTCAGGCACTTTGGGCGACGTGAAGTACGCGGGGGTCTTCTCCACCGTGAGCTGGCGCGGGGACGAGAAGGGCATCTGGCTGAGGTACCAGCCCAGGCCCTGGCTGTAGTGCTCCTCCCAGTCAAAGAAGTGCACCTCGTTCTCGGCGGCCGCCACGCCGGGGTGCAGGCTCAGCATCTCCAGCAGCGCGCGCGTGCCGCCCTTGCGCACGCCGATGATGATGGTCTGGGGCAGCTGCTGCACCGAGCCGTTGCGGGCTCCGCTGCCCCGGCTGTCCTCCTGGAGGGTCCCGGTTTTCTGAGCGACCTCGGGCTGGTCCGGCTCAGCCCCGGGGGTGGCGGCGGGGCGGGAAGGCGCCAGCTGGGGCTGGGCCACCAGCAGCACCGCGCCCAGGAGCAGCGCGGCCATGCCCGACACCACGGTGGCTTCACTGGGCCACGCGCTGCTGGGTCATGAAGCTGCAGTGGGCCGCCTCTGGTCAGTGACGCATGGGTGCTGCAGGCTGCCAGTTACTGAGGAACAAAGAAGGGACAGGTTAGGCCAAAATAAAGGTGGGACGATCAGATTAACAGTGTCCACTCTGCAGTGGACACTACGTTCACCTCCCTGGGACTCTGAGCTGCTTTATTCAATGCTGAAGCACCGGTGGTGGCCTCCATTCTCTGCACAGGCCCAGAAGGTAAGTATTCTGGGCTTCGGGGGACATAACAGTCTCTATGGCAACCCCACTGCGATGCAGCTGGCATGAATCTAACGCGGCCACTGGCCACACACAAAGAAAGGGGCGTGGTCGTGTTCCAAGGAAACTTTATTTGTAAACACCAAAATTGGAATTTCATATCTCATTAAATGTTATTCTTTCTTGCTGTACTTACTTATTTTTGGAATCATTTGTATGTTTAGCTCGTTGGCTGGACAGAAGTCAGGCCAGGCTTGGCTGACCAGTGAGTTTCCAACTCCTGCTGTAGAGGAGATGGTTGGGAAGGTCCTTCACACCTTAGTAAACACCAGTGAGACACCTGTGACTTGCCAGCCCCCGGCCGAGGGGCAGGTGACACAGAGGCTGGCTTTGTTTCTGCATCTGGCTACTCCCATCCCCTCTGGAGGGCTCTTCAACTAATACTACATCAAGCAGGTCAATCAGTACGGGAGGTTCACTGTTCACTGAGCTGAAGTCTCAGCTCTTCACCCTGCATGGTCTGCCCTTGACCACTCCTCACCGTGTGGAGTGTGCTTCCCAGCAACTGGGTCTGGGCTTGGCCAAGGTCACGTGGTTAGATATGAGGAAAGGCAGGTCCCCACCCAGGCCTCAGAGGCCTTGTGTGTTTCTACCAGGCCCTGTCAGAAGAAGACTGCACCCTGGTCAGCCTGTGGGCCCCCAGGGGAGCGCGAGAGGCTGGTACAGCAGGCTGTCCCCTGAGTCCAGTGCATGCAGCTCAGCCACCCCAGCCCACGAGTTTTGGTATAGTTTGCATCGCAGCCGAGATTGGGAAGGGTCATGGGTGCAACCTGACTACAGATGTCAAGGTGATGTGTGTTACGCCCCTAACTGAGGGACTGTAACGTCGCCTAAAACAGCTGGAGATGGAAGGAGTGTTCGAAGTGGGCCCAGAGCAGTGATTTTCAACCCAGGTGCCACGGCACACAGGTGTGCCGTGAGAGAATCTTAGGTGTGCCTCAAAAAGTTTATAGATTATTAATAAACTAATTTTTGAAAGAAGTTCAAAGCATAGTAAAGATATTCTTCCTCTTTGTTTTGATCAGCATAATTGAAGTGTGCTGCTAACTATAGGGCCAAGTGGGCTGTGAGATAAAGAAGGTTGAAAACCACTAGCCTAGGGCGGCGCCTGTGGCTCAGTGAGTAGGGTGCTGGCCCCATATACCGAGGGTGGTGGGTTCAAACCTGGCACTGGCTGAACTGCAACAAACAATAGCCAGGCGTTGTGGTGGGCACCTGTAGTCCCAGCTACTTGGGAGGCTGAGGCAAAAGAATCATCTAAGCCCAGGAGGTGGAGGTTGCTGTGAGCTGTGACGCCACAGCACTCTACCGAGGGTGATAAAGTGAGACTCTGTCTCTACAAAATAAATAAATAAATAAATAAATAAAACACTGGCCTAGAGGATTAAACAGGTGAAATGATTAGAAAGAGTAAAAAACCTTCAGGTGTACAAAGCTTTACTATTCATACAGTCTTGGTCAGCTCTGCTGAGGGTCACCACAGCCCTACAGGGCCAGCTGGGAGGCGGCAAGGGCATCACTACCATTTCACGGGTGATACTCTTGTCTAAGCCCACAAATGTGTAGTCTAGTCCAAACTCACATCCCAAATTCAAAATTCTCAATGCAGGGCTTTTTTTTTTTTTTACCGTTTTTGGCCAGGGCCAGGTTTGAACCCACCACCTCTGGTATATGGGGCTGGTGCCCTACTCCTTTGAGCCACAGGCACTGCCCTGCAGGGCTCTTTTTTTCCCCGCACAAACCAACTCCCTCCTATCAAACTTCTCCTCTTTACCTATGTCAGGTTTATCACATTCAGGTTGGAAAGTCCCTCGAGGTCACAGAGACTCCCTCCCTACACCCTGCCAGTTCCAGTTCATGGGCGAGTCAAGGTTCCTGATTTTAAAGAGCTGATACACAACAGCAGCCTGTGCTTGACAATCTCCCCCAGAGGAGGTTAAAGCTCTCATTTAAGTCACCCCTGTCTAAACACATTAGAGAAAAGGTTAAAGACCAGTCCAGCCTGGAGACGGTGGGATTTACAAATGCAGGAAAAACGTTCTCCATGAAAAGGATCCATCGTCATCTTTATAGCAGTTTTATCGTTTAATTCATTAGTTAAAAACTTTTCCAGAATGAATAAAAGAAGAATGAATTCTCAGACTTGCAATTGTATGATCAACCAGCTGATTTGCCCCTGAGATTGTGTAATCTGCCTTGAAAATCACATATTAAAGAGAAGCAATTAAAGGAATAGAAGTCTCGCGGGAACCACGTTACGACGGAGAAGGGACTTAAGAGGCTGAAATGAAAGTCTTAGGAACAAACAAATGCTTAGGCTGAATGGCCAAGCAAGACATGGTTTCAAGCCGGGCGCGGTGGCTCACGCCTGTAATCCCAGCACTTTGGGAGGCTGAGGCGGGAGGATTGCTTGAGCTCAGGAGTTCGAGGCTTGTCTGAGCGAGAGTGAGACCCCAACTCATGGGAAAAAAATGGAAAAACCCAGCCGGGCACCGCGGCGAGCGCCTGTAATCCCAGCAGCTTTGGAGGCTGAGGCAGCAGGATGCCTACAAGCTGGAGTCTGAGGTTGCAGTGAGCTACAATGCCACTGCACTCTGCTCAGGGCAAAAGGTAGAACTCTGTCTCGACAAAAAAACAAAAAACAAAAAACAAAAAACAAAAAAAAACAAGGCAACTGTGCGTATATGCTCAAAACAAACAAACAAACAAACAGAAAAAAAGACATGGTTTCAGGTTGGTCCTTCTGATTAGATCAACTCAATTTAATGGACCATTTGCTTCCATCAGCTGAAAGTTTCACTGTGTTTTAGTCAAATTGCATTTCCTTCTCAACTGCCCAGGTAAGGTGGAGGAGCATGGGAGAGCCAGGAAGAGACTAGAGGGGATACTCTGTATCAGGGACATCCCACCTCTGGACACAGCAACCGTCCCATGCTGTCAACCCCAAGGGATCAAGCCAGGGGCCAGACGTGACATTGACATTGTTGGACCATAGCGCCCCTTCCACTCTGGCCTGAGCCGCTCTGGTTAGCACTGTGCACAGCTGAGATTTTTTCCTAAAGGGGAATTACTGGTCGACAGCAGGGAAGAAACTGAATATAGTATGTCCTTTATGATAAAAAAAAAGGAGGGGCCAGCTAGTAGTTTCAAAGCTCCTTGTTTGTACTTTAATACTTTCCAAAAATTTATTTACTTAAGTCTAGACTTTTTTCATTCCAGAAATATTTGATGTATACGGAAAAAAATAGCTACAGTCTTATACACACATATGGCGTATACATACACACATGGTATATGTAGCCTGTGGAGAGAGCACATACACACACGTGTCTGTGTAGAAGGCTCTGCCTGTGTACACGGATAAAGGCTGTATGCACGCCTGTTCTTAAGCAGCTGTATACACACATAAACACAGGTAACATACATTGTATCAACACACACAGTGGGCAATGGAGGCCAAATTCCTTTTTTTTTTTTCCTACCCCTTCAAAAGCAAGACCAGCTTCCTCTTGTATGGTTTGTTAATTTGCACTTCCCACTGCCACAGACAGGATTTCTGGGCCTTTTAGTAACACTCTCAGAAAGGAAAGGATCCCCAGGCTCGGGTGAACCTGTAAGCCAGGCCTCTAGGCCACCGTGATCTTGACAGTGGCGATACACACATCAGCTCAGAAGAGTCATTTAGTCTCCCTCACACACCCCAAAGTCACACAGACACTCTGCACCTCTAACTTTCGGCTCCTGAGCTCCAGATCTGCAGGTGAGCTGCTGGTATTGTTAACAATAACCAGTAAGTGGGAGGTTATAACATCTAAGACACTGTTTGGGGATTCCAGAGAAGGGACACCCAAGATAATCTACCGGAGCAGTGAGTAGTCTGGCAGCCAACCCCAGAACAAGCTGACACGCAGGCCCACCACGAGGTCCAGTGCTGACACACAGGTGGGGCCCAGCACAGGGTCCAGTGCTGACACACAGGCCAGGCCCACCACGGGGTCCAGTGCTGACACACAGGCCAG